ACCTTAGAAGCTAGGGCAAATGCCTAAGCTTAACTGAGCTTACGCTTTTGATCTGGCCTACTAGGCTTTCACAAAAGTGGATAATCTTTTATGGGGTTTCTTGATAGTCTATAATTTCCCCCAACTTTCTTTGAGGAGCCTGACACAAATCAAACAAAAAAGTAAAACTCATTTCAAACTGCAATCAATCCTGGAAAGGGGCTCTTGAGATCTTTAGACTAAGTCCTTCAGTGCTCTCTGTCAGGCTGACCTGAGAGACCCCATATCTCCCCTTGTAAACAACAGGTTGCCCCTGTTAAACAAGAATGGCAATAAAAACATTTAGGACCAGCCCTAAATCATCCTGGTGCCAGCCCCTATCTACACACTTGTACTGATTATCCATGCAGTTTTTACTTTAAACACTTCTCTGGACTCTTTGAAATTCCAACCCCAATTCAAAAATTCTATATATACTCAGATTCCCCTTCAGATGTTCACTGATACCACTCTGATGTCAGTCTGCCTATGTGTAGGTCAATAAAATCTGATCTTTATCACAGCCTTGATCTCTGGCTATTGTCTCACGCTGCCATTACCTAACACTCTCCATCTTCATCTGAATCATCTCTTCCCTCCTGACTGCTCAAACCCCATCAGCCTTGTCTTACCCTGCCAGCCTCATCTCAGGGGTAGGGCCCTGGCCACAGCTGTTCCCTCTGCCAACCTCAGTACTCTTCCAAGCCAGACATCTCCAGGACTAAAACTCTCACCTAACCAATGACCACCACCCCCTATCTGCTCTACTGAGAATGCCAACCAGCTCTCCAATGTTCCCTGCTTGGGATGCAAGCATAAAGACTTCCAGGTAACAAATAGTGACTGAAACCTATGGAGCTATGGATTTAGAAAGTCATTCAGTGCGAGAAGATTAAGAAAGAGCAGTTAGGGAACACGCCCATAATCCCAGCACCCTGGGAGGCCAAGGCAGGAAGATTGCAAATTCAAGATCAGCCTGGGCAATTTAGCAATTTAGCAAGATCCTGTCTCAAAACTTAAAAATTGCCCAATATGGTGGTGCATACCTATTATCCCAGCACTTGGGAGGCTGAGGCAGGAGGATCACCATAAGTTCAAGGCCACGATGGGCTCCATAGTGAGTTTAAGGCCAGCCTAAACTGCAAAGTGAGACACTGTCTCAAAAGACAAAATTTTAAAATTTTAAAAGGGCTGGGGATACAGCTTAGCCTACAGGTCCTGGGCTCAATCCCCTGTATGAAGCGGGAAAGGGTACTTGGGAATACAGAACCAGGAGACAGTCTGCAGCCAAAGAAAGGTTCACAGGCCCAGCGAGCACAAGGCAGCAAAACAGGCTGCACATAAAACAAGGACAGTGTTTGGTTTGACAATGATCATCAACCTTCACGGTATCTTCTTTCCTCTGTTCTTTTTTCAGGCTTTCTCTTTTGGTGGTTATTAGAATCTAGATGACCAAGGACTAAGATACTTTGATCCTTCTCACAGGCAATTAACTGAAAAACTTTAGGAATAACCTGTTACATTTTAGCAGGTGCATGGTACTGTTTTTTAATCTTGCTTTTACTATATTGAGCACCTGGTATGTTTCCAATTTTTTACTGCCTTATATTTCAGATTCTGCATAAGTAAGTAGGATGTTAGCAACTCTAGAAGATTAAAAGTTATTTGCTTTTTTTTATTTTTTTGAGATTTGGTCTCACTATGTTGCCCAAGTCTACCTATCAAATTGCAATCCTCCTGCCTCAGCTTCCAAGGTAGCTGGGATTACAGGCACATGCCACCATGCCCAGCTTGCAAACATCACTTTTAAATCATAGCCCATCTCAGTTTACAAATCCCTTTTGCATCTACTCATTCAACTGTCTTTTATACTAAAAAAGGTTTAATCGCCTTACAGTGCTTCACTGGGGCTGGGCTGTAGCTCAGGGCTAGAGTGCTTGCCTACTATGCTCAAGGCCCTCGGTTCCCCAGTACAGTGAAAAAGCAATCTGGATTAAACAGCACAATGATGCACACCTAAAATCTCAGCTACACCAGAGGCTGAGGCAGAAGGGTTGCAAATTCATGGCCAGCTTGAGTAACTAATGAAGACTCTATCTCAAAATAAAATTTTAAGAAGGGCTCCATGCTTTCTGGGTTCAAACTCCAGCACTGTAATAAAAATAGATAAACCAATAAAAGCCACAACACCACCACCTCACTGCCCTACAAGAAATTTGAGGGTCTCAGTAGACAGGGAAAATGGAGTGCTTTAAAATTTACTACTTTACTACTTTGTAGACAGATTTCCTGCAACGAAAGAAGGACTCTTAAAAAAAAAGGTCATGAGCTGGGACTGTCCCCGTTACTCAGATTCTACTTCCTGTTGCACTTCCCTTTACCAGAAGGGCAGAAAAATAAACCTCCAAACTAGGTAAGTTAGTGATTTTTCACAAATGAACAAAAAAACTCTAAAATCTTCAGGGGAGCTCAGAGTACTGCAGCTATGATAAGATACACCACTCCTCCACGCCCAGGAGGTGGATGGCTGCTTGTAACACTTGCTTACACCTAAGATCAAGCCCACAACCCTCATGCAGTTCTTAGTAAGTCCTTCTCGGAGGCACCTGGAAATTACCTTATGGACATGCTGTCCTTCATCTGCACACACTTGCCCCTGAACTAAAAGCTCATTCAGCTCCCCAGATCCTCAGAACCTGTACTATCCCAGGAGCACCACTTGATAGCAAGCCCACCATGTCACCCATTATGGGCTTTTGAGACTGATGCATCTGCACTCACTGACTTCCCACACCTCCCTCATTACAGATCTGACTTCCCTCCCTCAAAATGTGCTTGCTTTCAATCATTACGGTGCAGACTCCTTGTTATGAAATTTGGATTTGGGTAACCTTTCCAGAGATGATCTCACTGTCCTAAAAACAAGTGAGCAATTTGGAAACCTGAAGCATCATACTGGAAATGAAGTCATTTATTGTTTATTGCTTATAAAACAAATGAGCCTTCAGCACTCCTGCCAATGAAGAAAGCAGGTGCAAGACCACAGAGATACATGCTGATCAGAAAAGTCCTCTCTGTAGCAAGGACAGCTAAGGCATGGAGACTAACAGCATCCAAAGAGCTATGGAAAAGCATTTAGGTGGACTTAACAGCCTGTGTGAAGGTCTGGAACAGGAAGGAGCTTGGTGCACATGAAGTAGATAAGAAACCCTGATCAAGTGCAGTAAGCAAGGTGTGGGCCAGGTGAGAGGTAAGAGGTATAGAAGCCAGACGTGCAGGGCAGAAACATGTCAACTGCATTCTGTGTGTCAGGAGAGCCATTTTGTTTTGTTACAGGAATAATGTGACCTGATTTATGTGTTTAAAGGATTTCTCTATCTGCTCAGAGGAGAACAGATGGAGGGTACTGCAAAGTGTTCAAATGAATGATTAGAAGAGCTTATACTGGAGAGGAGGCCAGGAATGGAGAAGTGGATATATGAGAAAGGTGTGCCTTTGTTTTATTTTTTTTTTTCTGAGACAGGGTCTCACTATGTCAGTCAGGCTGGCCTTGTACACATCATCTTTCTGCTTCAGCCTCCCAAGGGCTGGGATTACAAGCGGCTGGGATAATAGGTGCCATGCACCTAAAGTAGAGCTTTTTATAAAAATAATTTTTGACATAACAGCATTATGTAGGGCATAGTCTCTTACAGTCCCTCTTGTGATTTTGTAAGTGACTATAAATTGTATGTAATTCTAGATACAAGGTTCCAAAGTAGGAGGTCAAATATAGTCTCCAGATACTTTTATTTTGCCTCCACAGTTTCTTTTTTGAAAATCTGAGTTAATTTGTAATCTAAAAATCAGGATGTCTCATTTCTCTTGGAGAGCAATAGAACTGGTAAACATTGGCTCTTGCTTCCACAGGGTGTATTTGGCTAGAGCACAGGTTTTCTAGTTTACCGCAACCTCCACATCCAGCACTTTGTACCACCTGCTGCAAAGATATTTGAGTTTGCCAATCTTCTAGCCTGGCACCATTTAAGGATGCCACAGGCCCTTGCTCACAGGAAAGCATCTCAATTTAAACCTTAAAATAGGTTCACCTCAACTCACTTTAACACAATTGTGATCAATAGATGGCTTTAGGTTTCATGTGGTCTACCATCCTGTGTCAGGGACCCCAAACCTGAAGATACTGGGTCAGTCACACCCAGGTACCACCAACCAGAGAAAAACTTGGTCCTGTCGCTTAGATTGGCTCATTCTGCACACTAGGGAGCAATTTAAGTATTGTCAGACTGTAAACTCTCGGACAGGGACGTGTCCCTGTGACATTCCAAGGCATGTAAACAATTCAAAAACAGCTCAGTAAGAATTTTTAACCTAACAACTTCCCTTCCACTAGAAAGAAGTATAAGTAATTCAAGAGAAGTAGAAATGTCGGTAGTTCAAAGCAAAGGTGGTCTCTAGGGCGCCAGTATGTGCGCTATTATTTTACATCTGAATTGTCTGAGGCCTCTGAAACCTCTTACGACTCTTTCTAAAAACCCTCATTTTCTCTCACTTTCATCCCCACCTCACTTCCACCCGCGGCCAGAATAAAAGAGACACACTGATCAAAACACCTTTAACTACCGATCTGTTTTAAGCTTCAGTGATAAGATGCAAGGAATCTGCAGTTTGGGAATCAGAAAATTCACTCATAAATCCACCACTGAACCCAAAAAAGCGTCATCTTCCGGAACTTTCCATCTCCTCGGACCCCGGCCCCGCTCCCAGGTGTGGGACCTGCTCCCTAAGCCTCCTTTGCAGAAAGCAGGTAACAACCTCGGTGAGTTTTCCTGAGTGGGAAAATGCACAGTGCCCGGCACACACTCGGCCTCCGACCGGGGGCAGCCACCGCAGGCATCGGCATCCCGCTCTGCCAGATGGGCAGGGCCGCCCCGGGCCTTCAGGCTGCCGGAGAGAGGCGAGGGGCTGGCGATCGGCTCACTCACCTGCAGGCGCACGTTGAGCATCATGGAAGCCACGATGTAGAGGTAGGGGAAGTTGATGCGCAGCCGCCAGGCCAGATCGAAGAAGATGAGCAGCGTGCGGGTCAGCCCCTTGCAGAAGACCCCATAAGAGCGGGCGGCGGCTGAGCGCGAGAGCCGGAGAGCCAGGCCCGACAGAACTGCCGCCATATAGAGACGCTCGCCGTGCCCCCGCCCGCCCTCCCTCCCTTCCTCTCCGGTCTCCCCGGGCCTCCGCCCTCGGCCGCTGGCCCGCGCTCAGCGAGCTCAGGGAGCGAGGGAGGCGGCGGCGAGGCCGGCGGGCGGGCGGGGAAGTGGAGTCTGCGCGTCACGCTCGGGAAAGCGCCTCCGCAAGCCGCCGCCTGCTTCACGGCCGGGCGCGCGGCGTGGCGTCATAAGAACCCGCCCCGCGCCTGCGCCGTCCTCAGGCCACCGCCCCCGGTTCCGCCCTCAGCCGCATTCCCACAGGGAAAGTACGCCTGCGCGGACGAAGAGAAGGCGTGGAAAAGGGACCGGTGTGTTATCTCTGGATGCCCCCTACTGGTGAGCCCTAGGAATAAAGGGAGAGGCGATCAGAGGCGTGGCCACAGGACAATGTGAATGTACTTTAAGCCACTGAACTGGACGCTTAAAATGGTTACAGTGGTAAATTGTATGTGTATTTCACCACAATTTAAAAAAAAGAAAGGAGGCCATGGGGGGCGATGGGTAATCCATTCTCCCCATGTGGATTCCTTGGGATCCAAGCTGTTCTTGTTCCGTGTCATTATACACAGTTTAATCTTTTAATAATCATAATATTAACTAAAGCCCTTGATGTAAAATTAATTCAACTTCACAAACTTCTGTGTTATGTTATTGTTTCATTGTGGTACAGGGGATTTTTTAACCTTTTTTTAGTTCGGTTTAATAGTACATGTGTGTGGTACATAATGCTTACATTCCTTGTGGGAAGTTGGTACGTGCACAGAACACATCTTAATTCCTTTTCTCATCTCCTCCCTCTCTGCTCCCCTTCCCATTTGAGAAAGATCTATCTCTCTACTTCCTATTGCCTGTCTTGTTTTGCGTTTTATTTATAACTTGGTTTCTCGTATAAGAGAAACCATGCAATATTTAAACTTGTGTGTCTGGCTTATTTCACTTGACATTATGGTCTCAAGGTGCATCCATTTTCCTACAAATGACTTGAGTTTATCTTTATGGCAGAGTAGTCGGTTCACATACTAATGGACATATAGGCCGCTTCCAAGATTCAGCTACTATAAACATGGGTGTGTGTCACTGTAATGCAAAACATTTAACTCTTTTGGGAAGATACCTAGAGGGGGAATAGCTAAGTCAAATGGAATTTCTAGTTTTAGTTTTTAAGGAGTCTCCATACTGATTTCTGTAGTGGTTGTACTAGTTTACATTCCCACCAACAGTGTAGGTTTCCTTCTCTCCTCCCCTGAAACCTCTCCAGCTTTGTTATTATTTGATTTCTTGATGATGACCATTCTTTCTAGGGTGAGGTGGAATCTCAGTGTTGTTCTAATTTGCATTTCTCAAGTGGCCAGTGATGTTGAACATTTGTACTTCCGTGGTGTGTATTTCAGCTGCTGATTTTTTATTGGATCTTTTATTTTGAAGGGGGGACAGTTTTTTTAGTTCTTTATATATTTTAGACGTGAGTCCTCTGAAGACGAGCTGGGAAAAAAATTCATATTCTTTAGGTTGTCTTTTCACCCTGTGGGTTATTTCTTTTGCTGTACAAAAGCTTTAGAATTTAATATTCTCCCATATTTTGATTCTCAGAACCATTTTCTGTGCAACTGGGATTCTGTTCGGAAAGTCCTGTCCTATGCCTCTAGGTAAAATTCAAGAGTTTTTCCTATCTTATCGTCCAGCAGGTTAAATGTTTTTGGTTTAATATTTAGTTATTTGATATTTTTGGTACAGGGGATTGAACCCAGGGCTTTCACACTTTTTATATATTTTTTTTATTTTTTTATATATTTTATATATAAACATCCAAGTCTTTCTATATATTTTTTATTTTTTTATTTTTTGTCTTTTTGAGACAGGGTCTCCCTATGCAGTTCAGGCTGCCCTTGAGCTCACTTTGTAGCTCAGTCGGGTCTCAAACTCACAACGATCCTCCCGCCTCAGCCTCCCCAGTGCTGGGATTACAGGTGTGCACCACCATGCCTGGCTTTTATTGTTGTTAAAGTAACATTTTTCAAAGAATTCTCAGAAGTCTTTGGTTTCCTTTTTTTTGCAGCATTATATTTTCGCCACATTTGTGGTTGACATTAAAAAGCTCACTTCCTTTTTTTTTAGCAAGCTATTTTTTTCTCTCAGTGCATGTTGGATGCTATCCTTGAGTGCTGAAGAACACAGGCTGCTAAATTACCATTATTTTTCAAGCTAGCCCCTTAGAAACAGCAAAAGGAATGAGTCTTTACAGCATATTTAGGAAAATAATTTAAAGATGTTAAAGGCCAGAATCTTCAGTGGAAAATTTTCCAGAAGACACAAAATCAACTTGGCAATGAGTTAGCAGGGTCCGTTGAGATCAGCTGAATGTACTCTCAGGCTTGTAAAGATTTTCACTGGTGGAAAATTGGCAGTCCTGTGCATTTGAACTCTCGTAAGACCAGATGGGCTGTGGCACTGTGAGAGATACGTGTGTGTACATGTTTCCTCCTTGGTTACTCCTTCCTTTGTCCCTAAATGCCACTGAGGCTATGAGACATTTAACAAGCCATTCACACAACGGCACACAAATTACCACAAAACTAAACCAAGCTGGATAAAAGCCTGTTATAACTGAACACAATAAAAGTCAAAGGCAAGATTCTTTATAGGTCTCAGATAGAATAGGGTTGGGCTAGCTTTGAAACCCACACAGGGGAAAAAAAAATAGTAGAATTAACTAATTCAAAGCTACAGTGCAGCTGGTAAATTAGTCTAGGTTTAGCCAGGCACTGTGACTCTTACCTGTAATCCCAGCACTCTGGGAGGCTGAAGCAGGAGGATTCCAATTTGGAGCTTACCCTGGGCAATTTAGTGAGGCTCTGTTTCACAATAAAAAGGGCTAGGGATGCAGCTCAGTGTGAAAGTCTTTGGTTAAATCCCCAGTACTGCCAAAGCAAACAAAAATTTAGTCTAGGCTCCAGACAACATTCAACTCAGTCCCAATTCATGGACTATCTCTAGGAAGACACTGCTGCCTATAATTAGAGAAACAAATGAGATAGAAGTCAGTATTGAAAAATCCTTCTTTTATTTATTTATTTATTTTTTTTTGGTAGTCCAGGCTCATCTTGAATTCGTAGCAATTCTCCTGCCTCAGCCTCCCAAGTACTGGGATTACAGGCATGCACTACCATGCCTGAGGAAAAATACTTTCACAGAGACACAAGCACTATGAGAAAAGGCTGGTAGGAAAATAATTTTAAGAGCAACTGCTCAACAGGACCTTCTGCTTTGCCGGCAGCATCTCTCCAGCTAGCAGAGCTGTGTCCCAGGTAAGGACGATGTGGTGAGAAAACAAGAGAGACCAGGTTCCAGATTCAGCAACATATCAAGCTCCTGTGACGCGGTTCTGTAAAGTGTGGAAGACGATGTTTGTCCTCAGGCTATTTGTGACAAGTAAATGTAGCATTGGGCACAGTGTCGGAGAGATAGAGGCCACTGGAAGGATGGTAGCTATTTTCATACTCAGACTTCTGGAGTCTTAGATAGAATGCAAGCTTAGTGTCTCTATTAATACAGTACTCCTTATGGAGCCCAGTGTGGTGGTGCATGCCTGTAATTCCAGCACTCTGGGAGGCAGAGGCAGGAGGATCACAAATTCTAGCCCAGCCTAGGCAACTTAGCAACATAGCAAGATCCTGCCTCTAATCAATCAATCCTTCACACTGAGCTACATCCTTAAACCTTTTTTATTTTTTATTTTGAGACAAGACCTCACTAAATTGCCCAGGCCAGGCTTGAACTTGTGATCCTCCAAGACTGATAAGGAATCTTGCTGAAATACTACTAGGAAGAACAATTGAACCCAAACCTATCAAGTTTCTACATCTTATTACCAAAGGAACGTATAAAATGATTACAACGAGGAAGTCAGCAAAATCAAGAGTATGGCATAGTGGTTTAAACCCGGTGTGGTAATACACATCTGTAATCCCAGCATTCTAAGAGGCTGACCCAGGAAGATCACAAGTTCAAGTCTAGCCTGGATAATGTAGCAAGACCTGCCTCAAAATTTAAAAAAATACAAAAGGGATGGGGATGTAGCTCAGTGCAAAGGCTCAGGCTTCAACTTGTAGTACAAGGTGGGAGGCTTTAAAAAAGGAAGAGAAAAGGTGGTAGGAAACCCCCAAGTGAAGAGACTTGAGATTTAAGGAAAGAGACATTTGAGAGATTGCTATCAAGTCCAGTGTGTAGTCTTTCAACAAAGGCAGGTGACAGGGCCAGCCTGAACTGCATAGCGAAACCCTGTCTCAAAAAGACACACACACACACACACATGTGCGCGCACACACACACACACAAGTCAGGTGAGCCAGGTGTAGTAACGTGCACCCGTAGTCTGAGCTAGTTGAAAGGCTGAGGCAGGAGGCGCATTTGAGCCCAGAGTTCAAACCAACCTACCCAACGTAGCAGAACACTGAATAATAAAAAAAGTCAACCATAAAAGGTTGAAATAAGGGCCAGGGATTTAGCTCAGTGGCACAGCACCTGCCTGGCAAGCATGAGGTCCTGAGTTCAATTCCTGGTAGTCCCTCCCCAAAAAAGTTGAAATTATACCTGAATGTGGTGGCACAATGCCTTTAATGCCAGCACTCTGTGAGGCTGAAGCAAGAGGATCACAAGCCAACTCTAGGCAATTTAATGACATTAAGTTAGTTAATGATTTATTTTACTTCAAAATAAAAAATTTTCAAAATTTGTTTGTTAATATGGTTTCATTCTTTTATTTTTCAAAATAAAAAAAAAAAGAGTTGAGGACGGAGCTCAGGCCAAAGGTCCTGGGCTCAATTCCTAGTACCATCAAAACAATTGAAATGATGATCTATATAGATGAATTTTCATCCACAATTCTGGGCTCAGAACTGCCTCTCCAGGGCACCCATAAAAACCTAAGAGAGACATAAAATTTCTCTTCCCCAGGGTGAGTTATAGAAATTCTAATCTTCTTCCACGCCAGCTGGGTGTTGTGGCACAGCCTTTAATCTCATCACTTGGGAGGCTGAAGCAAGAGGATTGCTGTGAATTTGAGGCCAGCCTGGGGTACATATGGAAATACTGTCTCAGAAAAAAGAAAAAAAAAAAGGAGAGAAATTAATTCTGACCACCCCCACCCCCGCCATTTTCTTGAACTGACCATAAAGAAATTCCTTGACCTACCTTTGCCTAATCACAAGTCATACATAACACCCTCTCTCCGCAGGGATCCTGCCCTGACCTGGAGGAAAGAATGCTGCACCAGAGGCTGGTAGGATCCAAGCTTGGTTGCTGTTATGGTTTGTGTGTAGATGTCCCCTACAAAGCCTCATGCAGTCACGGGGCAGGCTTCTAGAGTTTATGATTGATCCATGGTCCAAGGCTGGGATTATAGGTGTGAGTGCTACACCCACTCTGGGGCAGATAGTTTTGCATATGTAAGGGAGAGAAACAGGGTGCTTGATGCCACCCTTCCCTTTTGTTCTTGTTGCCTTTGCTGTTTTCTACCGCCATGAATTGTTGTCCTCTGCCATGTGCCACTCTGCCTTGGAGCCAGCCCAATCTGGACTGAAACCTCCACAGATTGTGAGCTAAGTAAACCTTTCCTTCCTTAATTTTGGGCTTTGGGTATTTTGTCCCAGCAATGAGAGAAAAGTAACCGAGACATTTGCACAATGTTGTTATGGGATGAAACGAAGAGGACATTCCCCAGAAGTCCTGGACTTGCAGATGTTCTGGTACCTGTACCTGACTCTGGTTCTCTGTGTTATTGCTCTTGAGAAGACAGGGAGTGTGTTCTTGAATGAATGTGAGATTGTGATGTCACATTGTGATGGGAAGGAGCATTTTATAATATTAAATATGAGCCAGGTATAGTGGTGCACACCTGTAATCCCAGCATTCTCAGAGGCCAAGGCAGAGGGATTGAAAATTTGAGCCCAGCCTGGGCAATTTAGTAATTTAAAAAGACCCTTTCTCAAAATAAAAAATAAGTAGCTAGCATGGTGGAACATGGCTGTGATCCCAGCACTTGGGAGGCTGAGGCAGCAGGATTGCTGTGAGTTTCAAGGCTAACCTGGGCTCCATAGTGAGTTCAAGGCCAGCCTGAACTACATAGTGAGACTCTGGCTCAAAAAAAAAAAAAATTAAAAAGGAGAGGGGCTGGGGATGGACGTAGCTCAGCATAAAGGCTGTGGGTTTAATCCCCAGTACCACCAAAAAAAAAAAAAAAAAAAAAAGTAGAAAAACATGCATATGAATAGTGGGCAGCTAGATGGCAAATAATGGCAGAACTTGATCATTGTCCTCTAAAATCCATTCTTCTCTTCTTTAGGACTATTGAAATTTTAGTAGGGTCCAAATTTCCCATCCTGCACTGCAGATTGGTGTGGTGATGTGACTAGGTTCTGGCCAATGGGACGTAAGAGGAAGTATGGGCTTCCCAGAATCATCCTGGAGAGACCCTTGCCACACTCCCCTCTTCCTCTGCATTTCTCCATTCTGTGCTTGAACATAGATGTGCTGGGCTGGGTCCTGTGATCTCATGCAGAAGAGCCAGTTTGAATTACTATTAGAATTTTACACAGGAGAGGAAAAAACTTTGACGTTGTTGAAGCCGTGGTCAGTTTGGGCCTCTCTCATTGGCACTGAACCTAAACCTCATGATCTCTTTTGTTTTGGCCTGTTCAGCCCCAACTTCCCATTCCTGAGAAGCCTTCCTCTGCCCAGTTCCTTGTGGTTCTGTGAGTCACTGGGTCTCTCTTTCCCCCAGCAGCTGGGCAGGAGACCAGACCACACTTCCCTCCCCACCTCATCAGGAGGCAAGCCTCAGTGAGTGGCACAGGAACATCAAGGCAGATGGGTCTAAGTTGCTGTGATGTTAGTGGCACCAAAATAAGGCGGGGGGTTAGAACTGGGAATTGAACTCGGTACCTTGCACTTGCCAGGCAGGCACTTGTGCCGCTGAGCTATATCCCCAGCCCCCAAGTAAGTTTTTGCTTTTATTTTTTGGTACTGGGGATTGAACCCAAGGCTTTTGCACTGAGCTACATCCTCACCCCTTTTTTACTGAGACAAAATCTTGCTAAATCAGTAAGTTTCCCCAAGCTGTGCTCAAACTTGCAATCTTCCTGCCTCAGTCTGTCAATGTGCTAGGATTACAGGTGTGTGCCACTATGTTTTGTGAGGAGTGGCTGAAGCTGGAGATCAATCACATGTGCAGAGTGCCCAAGGCGAGCCATGTGAACACGCTATTCCAGCTCTGAGAATACAGAGCCCGAGGCAATCCAAGCAAACAGGTTGCTAGGCAGAGGGGTGTCACGTGACATCAACCTGCCAAGTGTATAAATAAATGCCCTGCAGTTTTTGAGCAGTTCCTTTCTCCCATCTGGAGAGAGGGCTCCACTTGACCTCAGCTTTCTGTTTCCTGACCCTTGTCTTTACTTGTTCATCCTCTACCATTCTTCTCTCTGAGAATTTTGAGTGCTGAGCTGGATGTGGCAATGTCTGGCCTTGTTTTCTTTTTCCTTTTTCTTTTTTTTTTTTTTCTTTCTTTTTTTAAGATAGGGTTTTACTATGTGGTTTCAGCTAGCCTTGAATTGATATGTAGCTTAGGCTGGTCTCAAACTCTTAATTCTCCTGCCTCAGCCTCCCACAAAATCCTTGAAGCCTCCAGAAATAACATACTATAGGCTAATTTATAACTAATAGCAATATAATTCTCACCTTGGAGGCTAGGAAGTGCAAGATCAAGGCACGGACAGGAATGGTGTAAGCTGAGGACTGCTCCGTACTTGCAAGATATTTTGTCACAGTGTTTATTAGTGAACCTAAATATACACACAGTACAATACATACTGTGTATTTCAGAAGTAGAACTTTCACTTTTGCTTAGATCTAAAAGGAAGTCCAAATGAAGGTGAGCAGTGGGTAAGATGGACATAACATTCACACAGTGGGGAGAAAGAAAAATAGAAGAAACTTTCTTTTTTATTAATTTTTTAAAAAAATTATCAGCACATGTTTGCTGTATATACTGTTTACAGTTGCTGTGCGGAGCTGGCACATGCACATAACAGATCCTAACTCTTTTTTCATCCCCTTCCACCTCTCCCCGCTCTTCCATACAGATATTTCTGACGTCCAGACAAGCAGGGCCTTTCTGCAGCACCAGCGCCAGCATCACTACATCTGCTTTGTCCAAGCCAGTTGTGGCAACTACAACTAAAGAACTGAACTTTAACCATGTTGGGTGTGTGTGCTCCAGTTTCATTGAGGAGGCTGAGGCAGGAGGATCACTTGAGCCCAGGCTGGGGAACACTGGAAGACCTCATTTTGGAGAAAGAAAAGATGGAATGAAGGAAGGGAGCAGGGAAGGGAAAGAGGAAGTAATGAAAGGCAGACTCATTTGAAATCTAATTTCATTTAAATTTAGGATCCAATACTCAGTTCAGTTATGATCATGCATCACTTAATAATAAGGATACATTATGAAAAATGTTGTTAGGTGCTTTTTTTTTTTTGCCTTTTGAGACAGGGTCTCACTATGTGCTCCAGGCTGGTCTTAAACTCATGGCAATCCTCTTGCCTCAGCCTCCCAAGTGCTGGGATTACAGGTGCATGCCCACTTCCTTAGGCAGTTTTGTCACAGAAACATGGAATGTACTCATACAAACCTAGATGATGTAACCTACTACACACATAGCCCATCACTTCTGCCTATCAGCTTAAGGAATTCCTCGAGGTGGGCATGGCAGTGCATATCTGTAATCCAAGCACTTGGGAGGCTGAGGCAGGATGATCATTGAAAGTTCAAGGCACCCTGAGATACAAAGTAAAACCTTGTCTTCAAAAAAAACCCAATATATTAAAAAAGAATGTTAAAACTTCTCAATTTGCATATTGATTACAAGTTAAAATGATATTCCAGCTAACCTGGGTTAATTAACAAAATGAATTACATTTGTTTTCTCTCTTTTTGGAGAGTACTAGGGATTGAACCCAGGGCCTTCACAATGAATGAACTATATCCCCAGCCTCTTTTTAAAATTTTTTATTTTAACCGGGCATAGTGGCACAGGCCTGTAATACCAGCACTTGGGAGGATGAGGCAGGAGGATCACCACAGGTTTGAGGCTAGCCTGAGATAAATAGTGAGTTCAAGGCCAGCCTGAATTACAGAGAGAGACTCTGTCTCAAAAAAAATTTTTTTATTTTGATATTGCAAAACAGGAAGAACACATTCAAATGGGAAGGGGAACTAAGGAGGGGGAGGGGAGAAGGAAGAAAGGGAAAAGAAAAAAATGAGAAAAGAAAGAGAAAATGGAAACAAAGCTTTTTTTTGGTCTTTTGGAGGCAGGGTCTCACTGTGCAGTTCAGGCTGGGCTTGAGCTCATTTTGTAGCCCGGGTAGTCTCCAACTCCCCAAAATCCTCTTGCATCAGTCCCCAGAGTGCTGGGAATACAGTCATGTGCCACCACACCCAGCCAAAGCTTTTGTAAATGAAGAGGGGTTGAAGGGAGAAGAAGGGAATGGGGGAAAAAAATCAAGATATATCATGTACAGGTATAAATTTCCTATGATGAATGTGATCATAATGTATATCTAAAATGTACCAATGAGCTTAATTTAAAAATTTTTATTTTGATACAGGTTCTCTGTAAGTCACTAAGTTGCCCAGGCTGGGTCCTGGGCTTGCAATTTTCCTGTCTCAGCCTCCCAGAGTGCTGGGAATACAGGTGTGCACCACCGTGCCCAGCTTCCTCTTACTTTTTTTGATGTTGCTCCCAGAACACTCATGTGTGTCACTTGCACTTTATTTCTACTGGTCATTCCTAGAGAGAGAAGTTGGTATGAGACAACCCACTCAGAACCTTGAGGAATATGATGGTTTAGAATTAATGTCCCCTACAAGTCTCCCATTTTGAGGTGAGGCCTGGTTGGACTAGCCAAGACGTTAGGGGCATGACTTGGAAGGGTGTGTTCCGGTCCCTGGCTTCTGCCTTCTTTCTCTACTTCCCAGCCACCATGCAGTGAGCAGCTGTTATCTGCCATGCCATTTCTGCCTTGCAGTCAGCCAACCATGGACTAAACCCATTGCAAACCATGAGCCAAAATAAACTTCTTTTTCTTTGATTCATGGGTCTAGATATTTTGAGATAAGAAAGTGGGTAGGACAGAAAATTTGTATCAGGAGTCACTACTGTGACTGTACTGATTATGTGGTTCAGAAGTCTTTTGAACTGCTTCATGGGAGGAGTTTGGAAACTAAAGGTGAGGCTCAGGCGGTTTCAGACTTGGTGGGAGACTCAGAAGATGGGCAAAATGTAGGCAAATTTTCTGTCACAGTGTAACACACATAGTCTCAAATCCAACTGCCAGCGGAGTTCTTGTTACCAACTGAAACTGCCTGAGCCTCACCCTAGGTTTCCACATTTTCTCTCAACATTCTGGTCTTCTGAGCTCTGACAAATATTGCACACCAACACTGCTCACAACATTCTAGGGCTTTTCTAGCCCGCATTTCCAAAACTTTCCAAACTCTCCCATGATTCATTCTCGCCCCTTGAGGGAGGACCTAGAAGTAGGGAGACTCCATGAGGGTCTGGGCAGAAAATTGAAGTCTCTTCATCTAAGCTCTCTTCTATTGGTTAATGTTTTAACAATCTGCACCCATGACTTTAATTCAAAAATCAAATAAAGTAATAAATCACTGGCTTATTCCTCCTCCTTTTAATTTTTTTTTTTTTTTATTTTGAGGCAGGGTCTCACTGAGTCACTAAGATTTCCAGGGTAGGCTCAAATTTGCAATCCTCCTGCCTCACTTCCCAGAGTGCTGGGACTGCAGGCATGTGGCACTGGATCTGTTTTTCTTGCCATCTGTAGAGCCCTTGCTGGACTTGTGAACCCACGGAGTTGAGAGCACAAAGTTCATTCTCCTTGTTGCACAGAGAGCAAAGAGCTGTAGTGGCTTAGCAAAGTTATGGAGAGCAATGGTGGTGAGTTAGGGCAGCTGGTAGCAGCAGGGCATCCTTTCCAATTTTCCACTCACTGTGCAGTCTCCATTATCAAATACCAACAAGGTCCATGTGATTAAGAGAAGGTAGTCACTTCCTTTGGGCCAGCAGGAGCTCTCTTCTTCCTCTTCTTCTCCTTCTCTTCCCACTCTTTCTCCTCTTCTTCTTTGCCTTTGCCTTCTCCCTCTTCCTCTCCTCCTCCTTTTTCCTCTTCCCCTTCTTCTTCTCCTTCTTTATTTTGTGGTACTAAGGATCGAACCCAGGATCTTGCCACTGAGCTACAATCTGAGTCCTCCCTGCTTTTTTTAAATTTTAAGACAATCTTGCTACATTGCCCAAACTGGTTGAATTTGAAATCCTCCTGCCTCAGCCTCCCAGAATGTTGGGATTACAGGTGTGGGCCACGCCTAGCTAGACACTTTAGAAAAAAGTTTTACACACCTCTTGTATGACCTGACATTCCATTCCTAGGTACCTACCCAATATGTACATGAACTCATTTGTACAAAAAATGTTCTTAGGAGTTTTACTTTTATCATAGGAAAGTTTGAAACACTCTATAGGTGTCACCAGCTGGAGATCAGTAAGCCATGATCTAGCTATTACACTGAATTATTTCTCACGATAAAAAAAAAGGAGAACACCCAGCATGAATGAATCTCAAAAGCTTTAAGTGCTAGGCATGGTGACATGGTGGTATCCCAGCTACTCTGAAGGTTGAGGCAGGGGGATCATGAGTTAAAGGCCAGGTTGAGCAAGTTAGCAGGACCCTGTCTCAAAACAACAACAACAACAAAAAACAAGACCGGATATGGTGATGCATGCCTATAATCCCAGCACTTGGGAGGCTGAGGCAGGAGGATCGGTATGAGTTTGAGGCCAGCCTGGACTACATAAGTGAGTTTAAGGCCAGCCTGCACTACAGAGTGAAACCCTGAATCCAAACCGAACCAAACCAACAACAAACAGTCCAAAAGCCTTAAGCTGACAGGAGAAGATTAGACAAAAAAGAGTCTATATGATACCATTTATATTTAGTTCTAGAACAGGCCAAACTAACTTCTGAGAAAGATCACAACAGCAGTTGCCTCCAAAAGTGGGTCAGAGATTGGGAAGAGACAAGCTGGGAGAAGGTCAGGTTTTAAGCCTCGATGGGTTTTGCATTGCAGAAATTTGTCAAAACTCAGTGAATGGTAATCTTCAGATTTGTCCATTTCATAGTCTATGTTTTTACCTTAAAAAAAGCACAGGAAACTGTAAAAACTGAAGTACAATTAATGACATGCATGCTGATGTGTTTAAGGGTGAAATGTATGATTTTCCAGAAGTTTGGAAAAGCATTAAAAAATGAGATCAATTGTTAAATGAATACATGGATAGGTGTGTGATAAAGCAAAACTAGTAAAATGTTCATTGAAGAATTCAGGTGGGGGCTGGGGATTTAGCTCAGCGGCAAAAGCGCCTGCCTGGCAAGCGCAAGGTCGTGAGTTCGAGAATTCAGGTGGATATGTGGGTGTTTACTGCATATTTCTTTCAGCTTTTCTGTGTATCCAAATGTTTTATTTGGTATTAGAGATGGAATCCAGGACCTTGCACTAAGCTATATTCCCCAGTCCCGCCCCTGTCTTTTTTGTACTACAAATTAACGCAAGGTCTTTGTTTGCATTGAGCTACAACCTCAGCCCCTTTTTAAACATTTAAAAAATTGTTTAAAAATTTTTGTGACAGCATCTCACTAAATTGGCCAAGCTGGCCTGGAAATTGCCATCCGCTGGAGTAGCTGGGATGACAGATGTGCACCACCACATTCAGCTTCAAAGGTTTTTATAATAAAATGCTGCGGGGGAAGGAGACCGAAGAAAGGCTATCAGCATTCATGTCAAGAACTCAAGCGTTTATTATCTCTTATCTCCTCTCACCTCTGGTCACCACAGCAGAACTGGTCAAATGGCTGGTGTCTTTCCTTATTGCCAGCTGTTCACCTTAAAGGAAGTGGCCGCTGTGGGCTAAGGTTGGAAGTTTCCCTGTTGCCGTGTGGTCCCATCCAACAGTCACCACGACCTGGGGATCTCAAGTTTCTGCCTCTCCTAGCTTCTTTGGGTTTATTTCCTCTTTCGGGAGGAACATATGCTCCAATAGCTTTCCGGGATATGGTATGTGGGAGGGAAAACTTTTGAGAACTTGTTTGTCTGAAAATGTTATTTTACCCGCCTACTTGATCAATGGTTTGGCCATGAGTAGCATTTTAGTTTGAACATCATTTTCCTTCAGAGCATTAAAAGCACTGCACTGCCTACCAGTGTAAGCAGAGACCAGAGCGGGGCTATTTCTGCTTCCTGTTTCCTTGGGCCTTGCGTTTTCTCTTTAGGATCTCACCTATTTTGCATTGCCCTGGCTTCTATTTCCATTCACCTGGCTGGCACTTTCCATCTGTAAACTGTCGTTCAAGTTTAGGAAATTTTCTTTGCACATTTTCATGGATGTTTTTCTCTTCTTTCTTTCATATCATACAGTTATCATTAGGATGGTTGGACCTGTTTCCTTTTTTTTCTTTTTTTGTCTTTTTGAGATGGAGTCTCGCTGTTCAGTTCAGGCTGGCCTTGAGCTCACTTTGTACCCCAGGCTGGTCTCGAACTCGCAACGATCCTCCTGCCTCAGCCTCCCAAGTGCTGGGATTACAGGCGTGCACCACCACACCCGGCTTTTTTTCCCTTTTGGTCCTGGGGGTTGAATCCTAGGCCTTCACATCCCCAGTCCTTTTAAAATATTTTTAAATTTTGAGACAGTGTCTCTCTAAATTGCTAAATTGCCCAGGCTGGGTTTGAATTTGTGCTCCTCCTGCCTGAGCTGCCCAGGTGTTGGGATTACAGGCATGTGCTACCATGCCCTGCTGTTTCAACTTTTCCAGTGAGTTTAATTTCTGCTAAGGTGCTTTTAATTTCTAAGAAATAAAAAATATCATGGAAAAAATCTTTTGGACAGGGGAAGTTGCTCATGGAAGCATGCTGGGTTGTATTCCTAGCGGCATTAAAAACGTAAGAATTACGCCAAACTCCCAAAGCAATCAACAAACCTTTCAAAAGCTCCTGTCTTCTAATATAACCCCCTTCCTAGTTATATTATCTGAATATATCGACAGCCTTTAAAAAAATCAGCCTTCTTCCTGCTTTTTCCCCCAAATTTATTTTGATTACTTATTTATTTTTTGCAGTACCGGGGACTGAACTTAGGGCCTTTGCACTGAACTACGTCCCATCTATTATTTTTTGAGATAGGATTTGCTTAAATCGCCGTTGCATAATCTGGGCTAGAATTTATAATCCTTTTGTTTATCTTCCCAGAGAGTTGGGTTACAGGCTGTGCGGCACTACAGCCGGTTTATTTTAATTTATTTATGTTGCAAGGGCATTTTTCCTCCTTATAGTTTTATTTTATTTTATTTTATTTTTGGTTTTTCTCCGGTACCGGGAACCGAACTCACGACCTTGTGCTTGCCAGGCAGGCGCTTTTGCCGCTGAGCTAAATCCCCAGCCCCTCCTTATAGTTTTAGATTCGAGTTTTCTAAGAGGATCTTATGTCATAACATAAACTATAGTTATTATATAAAAAGGTTTTTTAAAAAAAAAGTGTAGCGAGGCATGACCCCACACTCTGGAAGGCTGAGGCAGGAAAATCGAAAATTCCAGCCAAGCTTGATCACTGGCTGGGGATGCAGGTTAGTGTGGAGGCTCCGGGCTCAATGTCCAGTACTGAAAAAAAAAAAAAGTGGAGGGGTGACCCAGGCCTTGGGTCTGATAAAAGGAGCGGACCCCTATAACTCACAGCTCCTCTCCAGGACCAAATCTCTACCAGAAGGGTGGGGATCCTCGAGCCCGGCCACGCCCGGGCCGCGTTAGCGCGCCAAGATGGCGGCAGCCCCGCCCCGCGCTTCGAGCCGAGCGCTCCCGAACGTTCCCGAGCACTCCCGAAAGCCAGAGGAAGCTCGGGAAGCCTGGAGGGCGGGAGCTGCCCCGCGCGGAGCCTGGGAGCCGCAGCGCCGGCGCGGGGGGTGAGGGGGGGGAAGGGAGGCCGGATGTGAGTGGAGCGGCCATTTCCTGTTTCTCTGCAGTTTTCCCCAGCTTTGGGTGGTGGCCGCTACCCGGCTTCGGTTTCTAGTCCGCGGAGGGCAAGGCGGCGTGGACAGCGCTCCCGGCACCCCGCGCCCCGCCCGGCC